AATAAATACAATTCAATTTATTTTCGTGTCTATCTGTCGTTGTAAAATGCATGCAAAACCATCAAACAATCTTCTAAATCAGCATCATCGGCATCATATTTGTCAAGTTTAATTAACTTACGAAACTACGTTCATTTTAAGTGATCATAGACATTCACTTAGTTCATCTTCCATATTTGTACAAAAATATTTGTTGTTTTTAATGTCTCCATCATACTATTAAACGTATATTTAATACACAATGATGATGACTGCATCATTGCATCAGTGTCTCATAGATAAATCTCATCTGATATTCCACTTATGAGCATTGTTTTATCTATGGACTTGTGTAGATATACAGTTTTAATAGATTGACATTGTCGATAAAATAATATTTACAGTGATGATTACTGTTAGTAGATGATAGTAAATTACATGCGTATCTGAACTATTATTCGTAGACTATATCTCTATATTTGCTGTGTTTTGATCGCAAGTATTTGTAAATGAAGAAGTGAACCATCTTTCGAATGTTGACTACTACTTCGTCTCTTTGTAGTGAATTTGAGTCGTCTCTGTTGACTTTGTCTTCGTTGAATTATAATATAAATACATGTTAACAGAAGAATAATTGTAAATATACTTTGTTTCAACCATAAATAAAACAAGTGTCGTTTGATTTGTGTTTGAATCAGTGGCCAACAAGTCGGTGTTGATACAATTGATGAACTATTCATACAAAAATTTGGATATATTTTTCTAAAATATTCTTTTTCTCCATAAACTGTTTCTGTTTGATTATTGTCAATAGAACAGCATTGAAAATATTTTGAATGATATTTGATTTGTCGATACAGTTTACCATGTCTAATAATATCAATTAATTTTGAACGAGTTTTTTTCGATTCAGTTAATGTTTCATGTATCAAAAATGACAATCGTAGTGTGTATATAAAGATAAAAGCTATGGTTCCAATAATCAATAGTTTTAAATTATTATGATTGACAATTAGAACAATGGTTAACCAAATAAAAATAATTAAATTAATGAGAGAAAATACTATACTGGTTACATTTGAATTTTCACTATTAAGAATTAGATTAAAAAGTATTGAAAATGTAAGAAATAATGACATAATGGTATAAAATGTAAATAATAACCATAGATAATAATTATTAGAACTATTATTCATGCTGTATTTTCGATAAATGATGCTTCTAAGAGAAAAACAGATCAACTGCCATAAATCCACATAGTTTATTTTATCTTTATTTCTTGCTTACTCTGACACTTAGCAAAATTATTTTTTTTAGGATACATTAAGAACATATTTCATCGTATCCATTTTTTTTTTCCTTTCGTAAACACTTCCGTACACGGTTTCTATTCATAATAATAATTTATTATCGCACCTCTTCTTATCTGTTAACTATAAATGAGATAATATCTCAAGAAATCAACAACTGCTACTGTCTGTTACAAAACAAAACACCGAGTATGTTGCTAGAGTATGAGAATTCATCATAGAAAATAAAACAATAAAAAAGGCTTCAATTTGGAAAAGATATAAGTTCAAATTACAAATCAAAGTAATGTAAGTACTGTTGCGCGATACCGACGTCAAACGGCTCTGTAATATATTTATGCTTATGTGATTTGAAACAATTAGACAAAACACATACTTTACATTATATTTCTAATAAACTTTTCCAATAAACTGATTTCTGCAATATCTCAGTGATCAGAAGTTCGATTTGAATGAAATCTTTCAAACAATGTGGACGGACAGTGGGATTATAGACTTTTGATAAAATTTTCAAGATACCATTTGTCACCGTTTCAAAGATGACGCGCAATTAGCGGCCCAAATGGATCATATGTGATTAAAGGCTAATAAAACCGAATGTTTTGTATTTTTCTTTCTCAGAGAATGATAAGCGTCAAAAAGTCAAAAAAGTCTCGTTGTTTCTCTAACCACAAATCTAAACGGAATATTCAAATTGGGTTCTACTAGCTTCTGACCGCATGTATTATCTTCGATTTAAGATCAATTTTAGCTCTTCATTATTCTATTTGAAGAAGAATTCACACAAATACAAAACTCTTTAAAAGATCAATGTTGCTGTCGAGATACAATGGGACCAGTATCCCGTCCATGTTTTAAGGCTTCCAGTAAAATTCTCATAATTTTTGATTGTTATATAACTTTATTTGATTCCAACGAAGAAAAGATCAGCGGTAAAGAAATACCATTATCGACCTACATTAAGAAGATGTTAGCTTTTGATGAAATAGTTAAAAAGATGAGTGAAAAATACGAAAAAAAGAAAAAAGAAAACTTTTGGTTAAAACATAACTTATGGCTGGAAGAAGTTTTACCTTAATCCGAAATGTTTTTTCAACATCCTCATTATTCAAAATATTTTTATATATGACTTTTTATTGGCAACGCATACATTTTCAAGTCTGAAATATACTGCTTGTATTTTGAAAGAATAACGTCTATATTAAGAAAATTCGAAAAGAATAAACATAAAAATGAATATATCACTATTATTCATAATGATATTTTTGAAACAATTTTGGTAATTAGAAACAAATATAGAAACAAAAAATAGAAAATGAACCTTGAAATAATCTAGTCATGCAACGGTTTTTCTTTTTGTAGGCGGTATTGTTTAATTTCGCATATGCGTTGTCATCAAATTTTCTTTAACATATTTATGCTTATGATCTGAAACAATTAGACAAAACACACACTTACTTTTACAAGGCAAAAATTTCTCGAAAAATTCGATGAGTTCCAGATCATTATAGGTTTTGATAGAAGACACCTGAGGCTATCCGATGACGTGCTTAATTTGACAACGACTTTCTAGAAAAAAAACTTATATTTCTGTTGGGTGGAGCCTTAATATGAAATACGTTTCACAGTCTAAGAGCAACAGGTAATAAAAATAACAGGAGAGAAAATAAGTTTAACGTAATTGGACATCTTCCGCTGTTCTCATGTTTTATGTATTTATGTGTGATGTTTGTGTCAATAAACAAGTATCTCTTAGATCTTAGGCTTCTAAATTGTGTTGCTACTATTTATTATCGGAAGGAATTAAAATATAGTGTTCTACATCGTCTTCTGAATAACTTTTTAATAAGAAGAAACACAGACAAACGGTTTTCACTGTTGAATAGAGGAGATTGGGGTAAGTTACGTCTTTCCGTAAGCAAAGCAAATTTAAAAATTCTTTTTGAAAATAGAATTTTGAGAGGATCTTTTGAAAACTAGTCTAGCTCTCCAGGAATTAAAGTAACAATATAGTGATATTTTTGCGCCAGTAGATAGCCCAAACTGTCCTCTTCAAAATGGGAATCAAGTGAGACCGTGATTCGGGTGTGGTATATCCTCCTTCCAGGACTCCTAGAGATTTCGAGTAGTCTTATGATCGTATGGAACATACGATCGACATCGCTGAACCTGTTAACAATATTTATTTTTGAAAACAAATCCAAAAATCTGGTGAAAATCGAGTTTTATGAAAATTAGGGTTGCTAGGTTATTTTAAAAAAAATTCGCTATTCACTCAAAAAATACCAGAATGGATTGAAAACTTCAGGATGTGCAACATTTAGGCTATTCTATATCCTATTTACAAAAAGTCTACAAAACAACTTAGCAAAGCTCTATGGGTTTCAAAAAGAATTTCTAAAAAGTCTTTGACCAAATACATAATTTTGCGATTTTTCAACGGTATGATCACATTTAGTGGACAAAATTAACCATGTTCTGAAATTTTTAAAGTGTTTGCATGTAGATGGAATGCACGTAGAGTTAAATATAAATAAATGTCAAAAAAAATTGTTGGTTTTTCCTAGGTTTTATAAAGAAGAGTTTTTCTCTATTAAAATTTTAATTTACTTTAAAAGAAATTAAAAGATTTAGGCCCTCATTTGAATTTCTTTAAAATTTTGCTGGAGTTTAATTTCTCTTACAACGTATATATATATATTATCACCTGTTCTTCGGATGTTGTTTCCTATAAAGGAAAAAACGCATCTCCGTTAACATTGTAGGAAGTTTGAAAACTTTAGATATTTCCAAACATTTTCAATGTGCAAAGCATTGTACTTCCTTTATAAGAACAGTTGAGTAGAGGAGACTCTTTCTATTCTTTCACTCCTCTGTTTTTCGGTAATTGACGTCAGATTTCCGTTTGTGAGTGCCAATTTTCAATATTATTTTGTCCTCTTAAGAGTATCAATTAATCAAACAGCGCATTCAATAAATTCCTCGTCGTATCTCTTTCATGATTTCTTCTTTATTCATCGATGTCAGATGAACTATACCTTAAAGATCCAATTCTGAATTGTCTTATTAAACAATTTATTCTTTAATCTAAATAAAAAGTTTATTTAATTAGTAACGGATGTCCCAGAATAAATTGTACTAAATAGTGCACTACCTGAACTAGTGGCTCATACCTGAACTCCGCAACACTTTTAATAGATAATGATTACACCTATATCTCAAACTCCGCACATAATTAGATAAATTTGAAATATACGTGATCTCAAACTCCGCACACTTTTTAATTAGCAATAAAAAAATACAGATATTCTTAATTTGATTGTGATACTTCGTCCATATAGCGACAAGCTACTGCCCGTACACTTGACATATATTCATACCACGAATACGGCTAATTCCTAAATGCACCCGAAATTTAAGCCAATTAGTATAAAATTGGGCCCAGTTTGGAGGACAAGAATTTAAAAGCGAACGGTTAACATTGTTTAGACAACGGTTTTTGAATTTACCTGACGAAATTAAAAATAAAGCATGTAGTATAAACTATGATAACTACAGTAGAGAGGAGTTAGACCTAGACTGTACATGATATGACTGTACAACATTTTCGTGACGAATACGTAGCCAACACAGTCAGTTCTAAATTCAACATAGTCTAAAGTTACGCCGAGACGCGTTTGGAAAGTAGTCAATAGATTTACAAATAAAGATATGTTAAACGAATTTATTATAAGCAATTCAGTATCAAAATTTCGCTCAGAACAAGTCTTGGCTGGTATAAAATTATCTTATCGGTGTTCGTCCTACAAAAAATATCCTGATTGCGATTTTCAAGTACAAGCAATTATCAACAGTTCGCAACAAATAATTGTTAGTACATCAAGCACTCACAATCATGATAATCGCTTACAATCGACACGCGTACCATCACCTGTTCGTAAGATTGTTCAACGAGCCGTGGTAGCTAAATTAACTCAATCGCAAGTTCGTTTAGCTATACAAAATGAGCAACCTCAACAAGTATCTCCTGCTCAAATATCTAGTTTATTAAACTATTATCATTCGTTGACTCGTCCATCTATTTATTCTGTCGACGATCTTCGTTCATGGTGTCATCGACGATCATTAACCTTGTTATATAAATAGTATTGTCATTCCTTCGTCTCATCCAAGTAAAATGAATGCTCAAACATGTCTACAACAATATTCGTTAATGCCATGGTCTACATTTCACGATTTTTCGATTTGGTTATTTTCTGGTTGTCTCGTTACAGTTCCGTTAATATGTAATTGTAAACAAAACTTATGTTTGTAAACATGCATTGGGAATAATGATGCATTTTAGATATTATCATGTTACAGATTCGTCAAAATTAGAAAACTTTACTAGAAAACGAGGTCGACCAAAGAAGGCACGCTTGGCATTGTTGAAATAAATCACGTTATCTCATACATCGAAACATCTTATTTCTTTTGTTTCGAAATTTACTTCTTGATTTTTGACTTTTTTGAATAACATGTACATTTTACTGATTCGATAATTTGGAAATTCATGATGACTGATGACGGAGACTATATAGGAGACTATATCACATATGAATCATACATACAAATTCAAAAACCCGTTCTTCAAACAATGTTAACCGTTCTCTTTTCGGTCATCAGTTCTCCTTTCAGTTATAAAAAATATCCATTCTCTAAAAAATGCGAACCGTTCTCTTTTAAATATTTTTCCCAATTTGGAACGAGTAAATTTATATTATTCTGCGTTTCCAAATTGCGGCCACTTTTTAATTAGTGAGTAATCAACAATCGTAATTTAAAATATAGATATATAAATTAGCCGCTGTTTAGAAGAAATAGAAGTAGAAATATATATAAGAAGAATTGATGACTGTATATATTTATGTATTATATATGTGCAGCTATGAAAAACAGTTATATCAATGATGAACTTAATCTTCGTCACTACTATCTCCGGCATCTTTTATAATATCTATATACCGATGAGATTCCTGAAGCAAAATGATTAATTTTAATTAACAATCAGTGAAAAATATCCGAATGATTACTGATTAAGAATATTTAATATCATGATTAGTCGTTGCAAAGTTCGTTCATTTGAAGAATCTGTTATGTGTCGTTATGAACAAGAACAAACTCAAAAACGTACAGCAAGACCAAGAAAAATGAAAAACATACGTGATGATGTGAAGGTGCAGTTACAAACTTAGGGACTTTTCTTGTTAGAGTTACTGTGCCAAATATCAAAGCTGAATCTTAAAAATAAATATACAATCTTGCAGAGAATTAAATTGTCTATCATTTGGTATATAAAGGAATCTTTTTTATAAATATGAAATGAGAGGAAAATGCACCAAGATTTAGTACGGACGTGAAAATAAAAGATCTCGGAAAATTAGCAGAATGGATTTCGGAAGGAAATAAAGACAGAAAAGATCTCGGAAAATGTTATTTATTATTTTATCCTGCAGAAAAGATCTTGGAAAAATAAATTTATCTATTTATGCAGAAGGAGGATTGAATACGGTAACTGCCTTTTGAATTTGTCGGGGGGGGGGTTAAACCGGTATCTGTCATTAGTACGATGTTGTGTCGAACAGGCGATGGAAGACGACTTGTCTGAGCGCGTGTATGATGATTATGTGCTTCTGACAAATAGACTTGATAGCCATCTGAACTTTCTTTTGCTTTCAGTTGAAACTGACACAGTGGGTACTTTTTGTATTCTGAACATTTATATGTAATTGATGTGCCGGTGTTAAATGTTTCCTTTCGATAAACACAAACCTGTTGATCTTTAATGAAATATGATAAATCGCTTTCATTGTCGTATAAGAGCACTTCATTCCACGTACGACGTAACATTTTTAAGTTTACAATTAGAATGAAGTTGAAAATGTTATGACTTCATAATACTGTGCTTTATGCGCATGTTTTTCTTCTCGACTATTCATTATTCCGAAATCTTTTCTGCATAAATAGATAAATTTATTTTTCCAAGACTTTTTCTGCAGAATAAAAAAATAAATAACATTTTCCGAGATCTTTTCTGTTTTTATTTCTTTCCGATTCTGCTAATTTTCCGAGATCTTTTCTGATTAATTTATTCTGGGACACTAGTTATTTTGAGTTTTTATATATATCAGGGAAATGGCTCATTCTTAATTGAGATTACTTTTTATAATTAAAGAAATAAAGCGGATCTCAGTTTGGAAATCGCATATTCTATCATTTTTCAAAACTGATATCACTTTTGAAAACGATTTTTCTGTTAAGAAAAAACTGATCTCAGTTTGGAAAATGAGCTTTTAGTTTCTGGTTTAATAAAATATGGATTCGTAAACTGTATATAATATAAATTATATATACTAGATAGAGTGAAGTGAAGGCTCTATAGCTTGTAGATTCCGCTTTATTAAAATATGAATCTCTAAACTATTTTTATCAAAAAGAAAATACAAAAAAAATTAACTTTGTCATCCTCATTGTTTTGGTTCATATTCATCATCGTCTTTTGAATTTTGAATTCTCACACACTTTGATGTAACGATGTTAACAATTTCTGTAAATCTTCTAGATTTATATGACCACACATATAATTTTGTTTAGCAGCAATCAATACAGCATCATTATGTATTGATCTTGCCTTTCTGGGACGTGTACTTCTTTGTTGACGTTGTTCTTGTTCATATCGTGCCATTACAGACTCTTCTCACTCCTTAATATAATTTATCCACGGCCATAGATTAGGATGTGTTTCACATTGAGAATTTAACTGAGCGTGATACCCTGCTACATGATTATTCGTACGTGGTCTCACGCTAATTAAATCAAAATGATTCCAAAAATCTACTTCAAATCGTGGATTTTCAACATATGTTTTTAAAATGTAATCTGTTAATTTCAAAAATCTTGGACTAATATTGCTAATATTTTCGACTATATCGGAAAATGCTTCATCAATTCTATTAGGAGGTATTAGTGGTAATGCAAGAATATTTGCTAATTCTCGTCGTGTTTCTTCTTCTTTGCCCAGTTGTACTAAATTATATTTTTTAACTTTTTTCCATATACTTTGAGCAAAATGAAACTGGCCACCTTTAATAACAGCTGTTGGAAATGTTTTGGAAAATGAGTTCATGCAGCCATTTCGAAGTCGATTAATACTGATTGCGGCTTCAATGAAATATTATTTTGTTGAGCATATGTTGTTAGTGCATTTAATAGTACCTGATACGACACCTATTCTTTATTAGGTAATGCAGCATAAACAACTGACTTCATGCTGAATTCATCCCATGTATGAATACTGTAGCTTTGATAAAATAGTTTTGGTGACGTTCTAAATGTACCATCTGCATTTCAATGTGGATTATCACTGAGAATTTGTAATGCTGTTGGTGATGAAAAACTCAAACTGAATAAGGGGCTGGATTGTTACAAAATAAGAAGTTTTCTTCTAGCGAAGTACGCGTCATGTGAGGTGGTATTATTAGGGACGACAATGATTTGGGCAGTTTAGATGTATCATGGCTCGTGTTGTGTAAAGCGAAGATTTAATCGTATCAAATATAGATATTGTAGCTGCTGAACCATTTTCTCTTCGAAATTTCTTGACTTGCTCATTGTAAACTTGTGTTACCGGTGTTGTTGGCTCTTCCACAATTTGTCGTTTAATAGCTTTAATACATTCATAAACATTTGTTGATAGCTTAGCTTCGTGCTGTGGATAATGTGCCCCTTCGTTATCAATACCACTACTTCCGATAATAGCCTCATCTTTAATTGTTATTGAACAAGAACATGAATGAACTGTACATTCTGTATTATTTTTATTTGAACGTCGTAGAACATATAGATAACTTTTGTATAAAATACGATCATTACCTCTATGGGTTTTAATGTAAGAGAAACTTTAGACATTTGAATACAATGTTTTAGACTTTCACTTCACTTCTATGTATTATATACAATTTATACTATATACAGTTTACGAATCCATATTTTATTAAAACAGGAACTAAAAGCTCATTTTCCAAACTGAGATTAGTTTTTTTTTAATAGAAAAATCGTTTTCCAAACTGGTATCTTTCAAAATTGATAGAATATGCGATTTCCAAACTGAGATCAGCTTTATTTCTTAAATTATAAAAAGTGATCTCAGTTAAGAAACCTCGCAGGGAAATATTATTTCGATGACATGTTAATAAAATTTGCTTTAAATACAGCAATACAGAGTTATGTCATCGAAATAATATTTCCCTGCGAGGTTTCTTAACTGAGATCACTTTTTATAATTTAAGAAATAAAGCTGATCTCAGACTCTGTATTGCTGTATTTAAAGCAAATTTTATTAACAAAATAGGTAGTAAAAATAATCAGAACGATAAGAAAAGTCAAACAATTTTATGTTCGTCACTGGCTTTGTGACCCACTTCATAGTCTAAATGAACAAATGCTCGTTCAACTTCTGGAAGATCTTCTAGCTTCTTTTGCAATTGTTCTCCTATATCATGTGCTTCTTTTAACGACATTACTTCTGGTAACACAATATCAACTTCAACTAGAGAACAAAATGGTTTTGGAACATATTTATGTAAGTAATAATTTATGTTTTTTACCTAGAAAAGATGTTCCAAAATGAAATGCTCGCACAGTATCAATTTTTGTTATCAATGGTGAATGTTGTAATGTCACCCATGTTACTTGTTGTAAAAACTCTGGTTTAGCTGTAAAACCACTCAAACGTTTGATTTGACCTGTAAATAATTGATGAACACATGTTTATTTTAGATAAGAATTAATTATAGTGAAATTAAATATAGCGATACTAACGATTCGCTTGACGTATCCAGGCAATTATGATATAGATACTGATCACGATAGCTCCGACAGGATCAATGACAATTGCTTTTTGGTTAATTTTTTGTCGCAATGCAAATGAGCCTGCAAAAAAAAAAATGAAAATACTTTTGGACAAATGATTAGAACTATTTACAGTATAATTAATGAATTTTAGCAAGTACCAATTTTTCGGCAATTATCTCTTAAGCGTGACAACTTTCAATATACATGCATTAAAAAAAAATTAAAGAGTCTTTTTATATTAAATCTATAGTTATCATTTTCTGATACCATTAGGAAGATGATGAAACTATTAATCAGATGGTAGCTTACACACCTAATAAACCACAAGCTAATGCAACAATATTAGATGCAACATCGTTACGATGATCTTCTGCTAGCGCATACATTGTTGGATTTTTCAGTCGATAACAGAGAACAAATAGAACAAGTTTTATTACTAAAATAGAACATCAAATACTACTTAGGGCATACCAAAAGTAGTGGCAGTGGTATTTTTATCCCTTATAGAAAGGTTAAAGAAACTTTCTTTTTATATAGTCTGATAGAGAAAAGAATGTTCTATTTTTCTATGCTATTTGATCAT